GATGTGATTTCAAAGGCTTGTTTTGGAAGCTCTTATTTCAAAGGCAAAGAGATCTTCTCAAAGCTCAGAACTCTTCAAAAGATAATCTCCACTCAAAGCTTACTGTTTGGTATTCCTGCATTTGGGTATGTTCATCTAAACTTTCCTATATATATATATAATATATATAGAGCCCAACACACCATTAGTTCTCTCCCCCTTAGTCTCAGTCACCATTATCATCCTTGCTTTTATGAGTAGAGTTTTGATACATGTCTCGTCTCCGGACTATCGCAACTACTCACAGTGCTATGTCCCACCATAAAGTAGCAACAGTCGGGACCCATGAGCATCTAAAATGAATTTTTCTTGCTTGTTTATATTATTTTGGTGTGTATGCATTGAATATATAGAATCAGCAAAAGAACTCAAAGGGACCATTTTTTAGGTGAATTCTCAATATATAATAAGATGTTCACCATCACAAATTAAATGGCCAAATGTGGATGTTGACTAGCTACTCTCTAACCAAATCAACAATTTTGGTAGATTTCTTCCCACCAGACAACAAAAGGAGATGAAGAATTTGGAGAGAGAGATAGAGACATTGATTTTGGAGTTGATAAAAGAACGCGAACACGGATTCTCAGAGATGCCATCATCATCAGAGAAGGACCTATTGCAGCTGATATTAGAAGGTGCCATCAACGACCACAATGTAGGCAAGCATTCATCAAAGCAATTCATCGTCGACAACTGCAAGAACATATACTTTGCCGGCCACGAGTCCACTGCAGTTGCTGCATCATGGTGCTTGATGCTACTAGCTTTGCATCCAGAGTGGCAGGCTTGTCTCCGAGAGGAAATGACTCAAGTTTGCCAGGATGGTCTATGAGATGCGGATTCAATTCCTAAAATGAAAATGGTACTAAATCTAGGCTATCCAATGTAAATCTTTGCAGTTTTAATTATCCAAGTACAACCCGTTACTGATATATGTGTTTATGTATATGTAGATGACTATGGTGATTCAGGAAGCTCTGCGTTTATATCCACCAGCAGCATTTGTGGCAAGGGAGGCACTAGAAGAGACACGAATTGGGCATGTCAGGGTGCCTAAAGGCGTGTGCACATGGACTCTGATACCTACATTGCATCGCGATCCTGAGATTTGGGGATTAGATGCGAATGAGTTCAGACCTGAGAGATTTGCTAATGGGGTGTCTAATGCGTGCAAAGTTGCCCAAACATATGTCCCATTTGGATTAGGTCCGCGGTTGTGCTTGGGCCGAAACTTTGCCATGGTTGAATTGAAGGTTCTCCTCTCTCTGATTGTTTCCAAGTTTACTTTCTCCTTGTCTACCAAATATAAGCACTCCCCTGCATATAGAATGATTGTGGAACCTGGTCATGGTGTAAATATCCTCATTCAAAAATCTGAATAGACATGACATTTCCTATTAGGCATTCATTCTAGCAAGCACTAGCCTCCTCTCTATTCCTTTCTTTCTTTCTTCTTGTTCTGGTTGGTCTTAATATGTGTATATAAATTAAAAACATGTTGCAATGTGCACTGCTTGTATTGGTATAAATTATGCATGGGAGTTCTAAGTTTTCTCGATTTATATATTCCTTTTTAACTTTGAACTTACTTAAACTTAATTATCCTGTTCCCTTGCCAATATAAATATATCTCTCTCTCTCTCTCTGTCTCTCTCTCTCTCTATATGCAAAGGATGGAGTACTGCTGATCTACCCAGGCGAAGGGACAAAAACTTCACATTTGACATTATTTTGCAAGAGTTGTGATTAGGGGATTGTAAAGTAAGGTGGGCTATAGATATAAAAATTTAAAGATAAACACAATAATTCTTATAATAAAGATATGTTATATATATCCCAAAAAAAAAAAAAAAAAAAACCCGGAAGGCAATATCCAACACTAATCCAATCAATTTGTTGTTTGCATATCAAAAGGCAATATACAAAAACATACATTGATGATCATCATAGAGGCAAAGCAGTAAAAATAAAACAATTAAATGGAATTATCTATGTGCCTTCGAGGCTTCAATCGTTGGTTTGCTAGGCTGTGAAGCGTTTTCAAAGAGATGGCCCAGATGCGAATGTTCCTGGAACTATCAGCCTTTCAGGAATCAATCACGAGTTACACCAACACTATAATAGTTAGTTTTTCATAGAGATGGGCTTGTACAATGTAGCTTTGGTTTGTTTATTATGGATTGGGCATGGGCATGGGCATTGGGCTGGGCTATGACTGATTGGACTGGGCTATGGCTGATAAGAAATAGTTGTACTAATTTTTCTTTTTTTTTCAGACCTGGGCTACAGCCCAGGTTAGCCCACACTAAGTTACACCCCTGGTTGTGATAAGCCCTCCGAAAGTGGAGGGCTGAACCCAACTCGAAAGCATCTAGCAATCCACGTGGTTTCAGTTGAACTTACTTAAACTTATCCTGTTCACTTGCCCAAATATATATATATGTGTGTGTTTCTATGCTGTGGATGGAGTGCTGATTTACCTAGGCGAAGGGACAAACTTAATATTTGACATTATTTTGCAAGAGTTGTGAGAGGCTCTCTATAATAGACGGCAAACACAACTTAAAAGTATTTGACAGTTCATGTGAGTTTCACTTGAATGTATTCAAATAGTGTTGAGTCGGTTAAATGTCTTTTAAATATATCTCTTTTATATATTTAAAAGAATAAAATGAATGTGTGAGTGGTGTCTGTGAATTTCTTACTAATGATATAATAAAAAAGAATAAAATATATATAAAAACAAAATGTGTGTGTCGTGTTAGTAATATTCAATAGCACCATGGATTTTGTTTACAGAGCATAGGCAATTGAAAATGATATGGATGAGGGAAATTATGTGGGACCCTCTAAATTGTAGTGGGATCCACAAGAAAATTGTCAAACGGTTTGAGTACAGTTACTTTATTTGTAATTATATATTCTCAAATGTAGACATTCTAGCCTTCCAGAGTTCCAGGTGACTGCATTTGTATCAAGAGAAGGATGCTATTTTGTAATTTGATTCTCTTTTTCTTTATATAAAGCTTGCAAAAATGAAAAATCTGGAACTAGTAGTGGGTCATCCATTTGAGTTAAAAGGGATACAATTTTCTTTATCCAAAAAAAATAAAAATAAAAGGACATATATTACTTATTAAAAGGTTAAACTATAAAATGTTTTTGATTAATGTACCATGCAGATATATCATATACACATTAGTATATATTAATTCCATACACACAAATATATAATATATATGTAAATTTATATTTGAGATTATGCATAAAGCTATCCACGAAAAAAAAAAAAAAAATTACCATCAACAACCTTGTGGTAATTCCTCTCATTTCAAAGTGAAATGTAGAGGGTTTGACTTAGGATGACAATTTACCCCGCAGGGACGCGTACCCACCCCATTTATAGCTGTTTTGAGGGACCGTTTAACTTATTTAGGCGAGAATGATTTTTATTAGTAAAAACTCGCGCGAGTTCGGGGCGGGTATGGAAGAGGTCACCCCGTCCCGTTTAGGTAGGCAAATTACTAAATTACCTTTATTTTATTAGTATATATAGTTAGCTCTAGAAATCCTAAATCATATTCACTCACTTTTACAGTCATTCTAGAGACCAACAAAGCCCTACGAACTAAGAACGCCCATACCTTTAAATTTATGTTAAATTATTTATTATTCATTTTTTTTTTTATGAATTTCTTCAATACTTGTATAATTGTATTCGTAGAAAAAAAAATTAAAAAAGAGGAGAAATTTTAGAGCTAAACGGGGCAAGGTGGGTGCCCGCGGGAATAAAAAAAGTTAAACGGAGTGGGAATGGGTGGAAAGGTTTCCCATTTAAGCAGTTTTGGGCGAAGACAGGGCGGAGGTTTTTAAACAATTGCAGGAATGGGGGAGGGTACACTCGTCCAAAACCTCCCCCGTTGTCATTTCTAGGTTTGAGTCTCCTAAGTATATTGTGCAAATTAATTTGCCAGAACCAAAACAAAAATAAAATAAGATAAATTGACGCTAGGAATTTTTGAACATCATTCTGTGCCAAACCTTGTAATCTGCGTCAAATCAAACAGTTCCACTGACTTGAAATACACGGTAAAATAGAATTCTGAAGAATTAAACAGTCTTCCATTTCAAGTGTTTGGGTGGTGGCATTTGCCAAATTATATGATGGCGATTAGATGCAATAATATGGAAAACACAGTTTTTTTTATGGTGTCTCAAATTGACCATAATACCACTTATGCTTCTTGTTTATTTCTTGAGTCCTCTATATGCTTTACCATAGCCAAATGTCTTGTTAAAACCATCTTTGTTGGAGGGAATGAAAAGGGAGAGCGGAGTTCTGGTAGTTTGAACATTGATGTGACTGCACTGATCTACTAGTATCATCAATTTCAAAATCTAGCTCATGTACTGGATTGAGCTGTAAAATATTGACATTAAAGTTTTGTTGCACTGTAAATGTTTGACAAAATAAGCAATGCATTATTATTGTTTGTATAAAGTCAAGAGATCAATATATTGTCCTATGATTCTTGGCTCCGGTCTTACTAGCCTATGGATCATTTATTGATTTCATTTAATTGTTCATCATCATCTTGTCTTACCACATATGAATGAATTCAATCTGGTAAATTCTCCTTTTTCATTCTTTTATATTATATACCTCGTCTTCTTTAAGATTTAATTTAATTTTTAATTACTTCCTCGTATATGAGTTTTGGTCAATCATGTTGTCGTTTACCTTCTAACCAAACAATTCTCTCTCTTCTAACATGTTCATCTCACTGTTAGGTCACAAAATTTTGACTCTATGCAGATTCTTGCCCTCCTGTGATGCACTTAAGAGTCACTACTGGTAGGGAAAAGGTACCAAGACATTACCCCTCAACACTGCTTAGGTGGTTAAATTTATCTTGACATTAAAGTAAAGTATAGTCCTCTAAATGATGCAAAACAGCTTCACTTTGTCCTCTCCTTTTTCAACTTTATCAAAAGAAGAACCTTATAGAGGAAAAAAATACCACACCATCCCTTGTTTCCTTCACACACAGTTGAAAGTGAAACCTGCCTGAAAATGGGGAAAATTTGGGTTGAAATCTGCTTGATATCTGCCCGGGGACTCAGGCGAACTTCGTCACTGTTTAAGCTCCAATGGTTTGCTGTTGGGTGGATTGATCCCAAAAGCAAATACTGCACAAAGATTGATGCTTCAGGGAATGCTAATCCAGTTTGGAAAACCAAGTTCTCGACTTTGGTTGATAATTCAGAACCTAACTTCAGAGATTTGGCTCTGCAGGTGGAGGTTTACAGCAGAGAACCTATCTTCCTTAGGAAGAGGTTACAAGGAACAGCAACTGTTGTCTTGAAAGAATTTCTAGACAAGTATATCAACAACTCTGAGGCTTCAAAGCCAGTTGAAGAAGTTGGGAGCTTTCAGCTTCGAAAAAGGAAATCCAGCAAACCTCAAGGCTTTGTTGATATCTCAATCCGGATTTCGGAAGAAAGGGAAGAGTCTAGTTCATATCCAGGTATTTATTTATCATATGGATCTTCTGAATTCTGATCCTGTAAATTATGTTTTGGATCACCAAATAGATGCGCTTTGGAATTGGAATCGGAAGAAATTTGGTTCAAACTTTAAATTAAATTCTTTCAATTCTAATTTCCGAGTGTCAGGCACTCCCAAAGAAATTTGTTCACTCTTGGTAATACTTTTTATGGTTGGAGTTAAAATGATTGATTTTTCATGAATTATCAGAGTTTGAACCACAACATACTTGTGATATGAAGGTTTTCTTAAATTTTAGTAGTTTTTATGTAGCACTAATTCTATAACAGTAGAGCGGGTGGCGGGATATATAAATATATTCATTCTGAACTCTCTGTAATTGTAATTGTGTGCGATTTCTCAATATAGTGAAATGGGTGAATCACAGCGTAACTCCTGTATTTTTGCTTGTATTATCAAAATATGAACACAACATACTAAGGTTTTCTTAAATTTTAGTAGTTTCTATGTAGCCCTAATTCAATATAGTGGGAGGCGGAGTATATATATTCTATTCATTCTGAAATCTCTATAATTATGTACCGTTTTTCAACATAGTGAAATAAGAAAATCACGTGTCTATAAGTGTGTACACGAAAGTATTTTTGCTTGTGTTCTTGTTTCTGTTTTCTGTTAATTTTCACAACCTGCTGATTGGAGTATGAATTGTGTATTGAAGGTAGGGAGGAGGGATTTAACCTTGAGGATAATAGAACTGGCATTAGCATTGCCAATGACTATGGATCATCCCAGAGCTACTACCCACCACAACTGCCTCTAGCCCCGCCGCGCAGGCCAGAGAATCAGCCACAGACTAATTCCCCATATGCCCATCCAATGCCCCTCCCTGCAAATTATTCTTCATCAGTTGGCGGACCAAGCTACCCTTCAGCAGGCGGACCAAGTTATCAGCGACCGCGAAAACCACCACCGCCGCCGCCGCCGCCGCCTTCTAATGTTGGTTATATACCCACATTTCTTCCCAGAACAGATCATTTACAACCGAGTTATATAAATATGCCATCGTCTGGACCAGCCCCTGGACGCGGCGGTGGACCTGGTTTCGGAATGGGGGTGGGTGCGGGAGCATTGGCAGCTGGTGCTGTGATTTTTGGTGATGATTTTATGTCAGGATTTGATTTTCCAGGAGGCTTACAAGATGCTAGGCTTACCATATCAGCTGATCCTCCTTTCTGAAGAAGCACCATCTATTGCTTGTAATTTCTTTTTCCTAATTCCTCGTTTGTTATTGTGTTGTTATGCAATACATATGATGTTCAAATTTAGCCATTCCACTACTTTTCTAGTAAATTTTTCATTTTAATAGCAGATTATTATTATTTTTTTTTATTTTGAATGGTAAAGTGTATATATATATATCCAGACTCGAATCCTTCTCTGCCTCTAGATTATTGCGCTACGTCAAAGGCTCTTTCGTGCTGCAAATATTGCTCTTGAAGGTATTCCTGGTTATGTTTGAATATTCAAATGACACAATATTCTCCTTAAATCTAATTCAGGTTCTATCTGGAAAACTTATTTGTTGGTTGTCCTATCTTTATAACACCTCATGTAAGATGAACTCTCTGCAAGATTTTGTGTCGGAAAAAATATATATATATAGGAGTATAGAAGCATAAACAAATGATGAAGGAGAGGGTTGGAAATATGAAGTAATTTGGACATGACAGACCATATTGTAGCTTAAGTTCTATAATCATATATGTGTTTGTTGGACTTCCACACTATAATCATATATGTTTTTGTTGGACTTCCACACTAGAGTTATATATAGAAATCTAATCTTTGTTAAACGGAGACAACTACTCCATTTTGTCCTTCTATGGTGTAAGCTAGTTTTTAATGGAGTAAGTTTATCATGATTCATGGGGACATTCTCACCCTGAGCTTGCACTTAACCATTGGATCAAGAGCACAACACGTGGGAGGTCTCGATCCAAGAGCAGGGGCTGCAAATGAACAGCTGAGCTGAGCTTTAGGTTGTTTGGGCTCAGCTCGCCTAGGTTTGAGAAGTGTTCGGGCTCTGGCGAGCTTCGCCTAGCCAAGCTCTAGCTGGGCTCGGCTTGTGTGTGTGTGTGTTATATATATGTATATATGTATACATATATCCACTTTATCTAACCGTTTGCACCTGCTCCTTCAATCGTGGGCTTCCGTGATTAGCCATTGATCTTTATCTAAGGGAGGAATTCGTGGTCGTGGGTCGTGTTTGTGTCTTGTCAAAACGTGAATATCCTGTTATATGGGTGAACACGAACACAACACGATTATTAAACGGGTAACATGACATGACAAACGTAACCCGTCTAATAAATGGGTCAAGATTTGACATGATATAATAAGATACGTTTAAGTCATTTCTGACATAAATACGACGTTTAGCTAAATAGGTCATTTCTAACACGACACGTTTTGTTAATCGGGTTATGAACAAGTTGGCGAGTCAAACACGACAAGTTTAATTACCGTGTCAATTCGAATCGATATGAACATGATTAACCCAAACCCAAACCCAAACCCACTTATCTTCGTGTCGTGTTCGAATCGTGTTAGTGTGTTTAGTCAAATATTGCAACCCCTATCTTCATCCTCCCTTTTACTACCTTTGGATCCCAATCATATCCATCCATCTCAAATTCCATCAGCAATCTTATCACCGAGAGAGAGAGAACAAAATAACCCTCTTGTCGCAGATGGAGTTTGGGGATCTCCATTGCAGAGTGGTTGGCTAAGAAAGGGTGTTACAGCGGCTGTGGAATCTGTTGCTGCAGATGGGGTTTCGGGATTTCCGTTTCAAAGAGGTTGCCGGAAATAAGGGTGTTGCAGCGGTGTGGGTTTTTAGGGTTTCTATCCAACTCCCTATCTAACTTAGATGTATGTAAGAACTTAATCCAATGGATGAGATTAAGTTCTGAGTTGGGCTAACAACTATCTTTGTTGAGAAAGGGAATGAAAAGGGAGAGTGGAGGCCTGGTGGTTTGAACATTGATGTGACTGCATTGGTTTAAAATCTTCAGTTTCATAGTCTAGCTCATGTACTGTATTGAACTGTAAAATATTGAAATCAAGTTATGTTGCACTGTAAACATTTCACAAAATAAGCAATGCACTACTATTTTGTAAAAGGTCATGAGATCAACTGTCCTATGTTTACCTACCCAATACTGTTCTTGTTAATCTAAGGGTATCAAGCAGTTATAAACCTAACATTTGATATCATTTGCATAGACTAGTCAGATTCAAGTCTCATGCATTTCCATTTTGACAAAATGAACTTTTACAATGCATCAAGTAATGGCTCCTTATTGTTGAGAACAGCAGAAGCGCAGAAACATGGACATTTAATGAATGAATAAAACAATCACTACACAAATACAAGATTTATGTAGTACAACACAACCCGGCCTATATTCACACATGGAAAGAGAACTCTAAAAGAGAAATCTAATTAAAATAAGAATTTGAGACACAATTCCTAAAAACTTACCTGCCAATGGATTTATTGATTTCATCTCAATAAATTTTAACTCATTTCAGATTCTTGCCTCCTGTGATGCAATTAAGAGTCACCAGTAGGGAAAAGGTACCAAACATTACCCCCCAACACTGCTTAAGTTGTCAAAATTTTCTTGGCATTAAAGCAAGGTAGGATACTAAATAATGCAAAACAGCTTCACTTTGTCCTCTCTTTTGGCAACTTTATCAAAAGAAAAACCTTACAGAGGACAAATTCTCTCACAACCTCTTGTTTCCTCAACACGGTTGAAACCTGCCAGAAATGGGGAAACTTTGGGTTGAAATCTGCTTGATATCTGCCCATGAACTTGGGCATAATTCGTCGCTGTGGAAGCGCCATTGGTTTGCTGTTGGGTGGATTGATCCTAAAAACAAATACTGCACAAAGGTTGATGCTTCAAAGAAGGCTAATCCAGTTTGGAAAACCAACTTCTCGACGTTGGTTGATGACTTAGAACCTAAATTCAGAGATTTGGCATTACAGGTAGAAGTTTACAGAAGAGAACCCATCTTCCTTAGAGAGAGGCTACAAGGAACAGCAACTATTGTCTTGAAAGAATTTCTAGACAAATATATTCAGAATTCTGAGGTTTCAAAGCCAGTTGAAGAAGTAGGGAGCTTTCAGCTGTGGAAAAGGAAATCCAGCAAACCTCAAGGTTTTGTTGATATCTCAATCCGGATTTCAGAAGAAAGGGAAGAGCCTAGTTCATATCCAGGTATTAAGCCTTTTTCCCAACTACTTAGGATCGGCTACATGAATCCTATGTTTTTGTTTCACTCTATTTAAGGATCAGAATTCAGAAGATTATAGAATTAGGCTACATAACAAGTGTGTAAACTACTAAAATACAAGGAAACCTTCGTATCACAGTATAGTGGGTGGCGGTATTTGTATTTATTCTGAACTCTCTGTAATTGTGTGCCATTTTTAATCATAGTGAAACCCTGCAATTCCGTAGATGTAGCCCAGATTTTAGGTGAATGATGTAAATCTGTGTTTTTGCTTGTGTTCTTGTTTCGTTTTTCTGTTAGTTTTTGCAACAATGTGCTGATTGAGTTTGAATTGTGTTTTGTAGGTAAGGAGGAGGGATTTAAGCTCCAGGATAACAGAACTAGCATTAACTTGGCCAATGACTATGGATCTTCCCAGGCTTACCCACCACAAGGTCCACAACTGCCCCTAGCCCCACTGCCCCAGCCAGAGAATCAGCCACAGACTAATTCCTCATATGCCCACCCGGTTCCCTTCACTGCAAATTATTCCAGTTCAGTTGGCGGACCAAGCTACCCTTCAGCAGGCGGACCTAGTTATCAGCCACCACGAACGCCGCCACCACCTCCACCGCCTTCTAATGTTGGTTATCTACCCACATTTCTCCTGAGAACAGATCATTTACAACCGAGTTATATAAATATGCCATCGTCTGGAGCAGCCCCAGGACGCGGCAATGGACCTGGTTTTGGAATGGGAGTGGATGCTGGAGCATTGGCAGCTGGTGCTGTGATTTTCGGTGATGATTTTATGTCAGGATTTGATTTTCCAGGAGGATTACAAGATTCCAGTCTTACCATATCAGCTGATCCTCCTTTCTGAAGATGCAGCACCTATTGCTTAATTGTAATTTCTTTGTCCATTCTACGTTGTTCAACTACTTTTCTGGTAAATTCTTTATTTTAATATGAATAATTTTTATGAGGGTTCAATCCACTGCCCATGGATGTGATAGTTTGCTATATAACTATCAATTATATGTTGCAAAACTATAGCTATTGTCAGAATATTGAATTCTTAAGATGTGGTTTATGTGATATTCATATGGCTTGTGAAAGTCTCTTCCAATAGGGGACAAGCTGGTCACGATCATCAATTGGCTTTCATTAAAGGAATTGCAAAAATCAGCATTATAAGCCTCTGCACATTCAATTTAGTTCATTTACTGGCAATTTGGATCAATATTCCCATCTGTTCTAATAGGACTTCTCTCACTTTTAATCGTATTAAATTTTAAAATTGAGAATAGGGTAAACTGCAATAAATCCCTTTGATTTATTGCCCTTTTGTAAAACAACCCTAAATTATAAATTGTTCTCTGAACTAATGATTTATTACAATTAAGAATAAATCTATCCCTAAATTATATTTTACCCTTTCATATTAAATTTGTCATTATTATTATTATTATTATTTATCTTTTCTCTTATCTAAGAATTAATTATACCATTTATCTTAATTATATTAATAGTATTATTTTATTATAAGGGGGATTAGATAGAGTTGTAACTACCATTTTTTAAAAATAATTAACTTCTTATTAAATTTTTGCTATTTATAATAAAATTTATTATACTCGATTTAAACGTAAACATTTTTTTACACAATATATTTATAAAAATTAATAAATTACTTAAATAAAAAATACCTTCATTTTCAAGCAATATATTAAAAAAAAAAAATTTAAGAAATTACTTAAATTATTTTAAAAGCATCATCTACCATACAATTTCGTGGTCTTTTGGACATTGTTAGCCTTGTAAACATTGTTTCCTTCTACAAGAGCCTCATCTATGGGTTCTTGCCTCACAAGTCACATTGCATACAAAAGGAGAAGGTTTTTGAAACCACAAAATTATGAGGTTGTGTTTGTAAAATTGGAGTGTTGGAATTAAAATTTGTGAAATTGAAAAAAAAATTAAAATTTATGAATTTTAAAAAAAATTAGTTTAATTTTGTTAGTTACGTTTTTTTTCATTTTTATAAATTTCAATTCTATATCAATGAACACGGCCCAAATGTTATGTTTAAAATATTCCATATTTAATTTAAAATTTGTATTAAATTTAAAATACGAATTTGATATTCCAAACGCAACAAAAGAAAAATAATTATATTACTCAACTAAGGAGTATAAAATTCAGTAATTGCCTCAATCTATTAAACTGTATAATATTATATTAAAATTCCTCCACATACGTCGCACTGCTCTAAATTGAACTATCTCACGCAGAAAACAATTTAAATCAAAGTGAAATAAATAAAATAAAAATAATTACCTTCATAACCATCAAAAAGAAAATATTAATTACTTCATGGCTGTACTCGCCAATCGCCATAGTTTGCAACGAATTCACTCATAAATGCGCTCTCTCTCTCTGTCCGTCTCTCTCTCTCTCTCAACCAAGAAGAACGAAAATTTTGTGGGAGTCCAAAAACCCTAGAATTGGACTGTCTCGTAATCAACCATCAATGGAAGCTCTACTCTGCAGAAAACTGGGCGACCCAACACTACCACCAAACTCGTCTGAGGATTCCGCACTCACTCTCTCAGCTTCTCACCCAATCCCCGAATTGAATTCTCCAACTGCAGTCAGAGTTCGAGTCAAAGCTACGAGCTTGAATTACGCCAATTACCTCCAAATTCTGGGCAAGTACCAAGAAAAGCCTCCTTTGCCCTTCATCCCAGGCTCAGACTACTCTGGCATCGTTGAATCAATCGGTCCCCGTGTTTCCAAGTTCAAAATCGGCGATCCAGTTTGTTCTGTCATCGGTCTCGGCTCTTTTGCCCAATTCGTTGTCGCCGATGAGACTGAATTGTAAGTGCTATTTATGAAAACATACAGGCACCCATATGCACACACACACACACACACAATGCATTTCATCAGCATTTTTATATATCTGCTTGAAGCATGTTATACGGTTGTGCGTTTGCCCTTATTTGAGAAAATTCAACTATGGTTCATTAGAAATGCTTTGTAATTTAATGAAAAATGCAAACTATACATGTATAATTTTCTATAAATGTGCAGTGACAAGGTGGAAAAAACAAATGGGTAGGAGTTAGTTTGGTTAACCTAATTATAATTGACCACATGCGAGGAACTAATTTAGGGAAGAAAATAAAAAGAAAAAAAGAGAGCTTTTGATTTGCTAATAGTGTTTGTGGAACAATAATTTGTTTTAGAGACAAGGCTAGAATTTTTTATTTATTTTTTGGTAAGTTAGACTAGAAATGCTACATAATGCATGGAGAATGGGAGATGTAATTTGGATTTACACATTCTCAGTATTGTTGGTTGATATTCTTAAGTCTAGGCTTCTTGGGATTATTTATTTATTTTGTTATTGTTTCTAAATTGGGTTGGGATATTAAAGGTTTCAAGTACCTGATGGATGCGATTTAGTTGCTGCTGGTGCACTTCCTGTTGCATATGGAACATCACATGTGGCCTTAGTTCATAGAGCACAATTGAGCAAGGGTCAGGTATCATTCCATTGTTCATCTTGTCAATGGCTGCACCATATGCGTTCTTATGTCAATGGCTGCACCATATGCGTTCTTATATCATTGTTATGATTTTGTATATATGCAGTTTTTAAAATATGTTAATGATGCTGAAATTGTAGGTATTACTGGTTCTTGGGGCAGCTGGAGGTGTTGGGGTTTCAGCTGTACAAATTGGAAAGGTCTGTGGAGCCATTGTTATTGCCGTTGCTAGGTACTTGTTCAATGACTCCATAAAGCAGAGTTGTAGTCTGTGGCAGTTCATTAACTTAAAGCTCTGACTTCTAACTTAGGTTCGGGTCATATTTTGAGTTTCAGGGGAGCAGATAAGGTGCAGTTTTTGAAGTCATTGGGTGTTGATCATGTTGTTGACTTTAGCAAAGGAAACGTAACTGATAGTGTCAAGGGATTTCTAAAGGCAAGAAGGCTCAAAGGGGTTGACGTATTGTATGATCCTGTTGGAGGCAAGCTTACGAAAGAAACCATGAAGCTATTGAACTGGGGAGCAAAAATTTTAGTCATTGGATTTGCGAGTGGAGAGATCCCTGTCATCCCTGCAAATATTGCTCTTGTTAAGGTATTCCTGGTTATTGATTGAATATTCAAACAACGCAATATTCTCCTTAAATCTAATTCAGGTTCTAACTGGAATAATTATTTGTTGTTTGTCCTATCTTTATCACATCTTGTGTTAGATAAACTCCTTGCATAATATTTTGTGCGGAGAAAAAATGTAGGAGTATTTTTTTTTTTGATAAGTAAAAAGTAAAAATAAAAAAAATGTAGGAGTATAGAAGCAGAAACAAATGACGAAGGAAAGGGTTAGAAATATGAAGAAGTAATTTGGACATGACAAACCATTTTGTAGCTTAAGTTCTAAAATCATGTGTTTATGTTGTTAGAGTGCCACACTAGGGTTAAATATAGGAATGTAATCTTTGTTAAACCGAGAGAACAACTCCAATTTGTAGGAGTGTAGAAGCAGAAACAAATGACGAAGGAAAGGGTTGGAAATATGAAGAAGTAATTTGGACATGACAAACCATTTTGTAGCTTAAGTTCTAAAATCTTGTGTTTATGTTGTTAGACTGCCACACTAGGGTTAAATATAGGAATGTAATCTTTGTTAAACCAAGAGAACAACTCCAATTTGTCAAACTATGGCGTAAGCATAGTTTTTAATAGAGTAAAGTCTATCATGATAGAGTTGAAAGAAGCGAGCTCATGTGTATTCTAATAATGTTTAAATCACAAGCCAAATCACATGTATTTATTATATGCACATTAGTTGTTAGTGCACCATATATGGCTTATCATGCAATTCTACACTTATTTGACCACATTTGAATTTTAACTCTTTTTTTGTTTTCTGGAGAGTTGTGATATTCCGGAGTTTTGGTAACCCATAGTCCCATGTGGACGTACCTTTTGCTTTCTGTATGTTTGTATGCACATTGCATGCTTGACACACATATGAAGAAACATGGAAAGCAAGAAAACAGTTTACTGGAGTCTGGAGAAGTTAATAGCATGGGCACTTTTGGTTATCCATGTTATGTACTAGAAATTTCAAAAGAACAGTGTTTGTAAAAGTCAAACCAACAGATCAAACCGCCATTGATGCTGGTTCCAGTTTGCAGGTCTGCCAGGCCTGCTCAACCACCTGACCGGAGACATCAAGAATAGTATGAATAATAGAAAGTATTAGAAAATATAAAAGTTACAGGACTTTTCCAGGAACCTATATTCTTGTAAACTGCATTGATTGAATGAAACAATCATAAATAAGTTTTTTTGTTTCTGAGTAAATAGTTGTATAATTCCCCCACCCAATATATAAATGTGTGTGTGTGTGTTGGGTTGGGGGAGGGGGAATTGAACCTACAGGAAAAGGGACAGTCTTTTATATTCAACTAAGCATCAAATGGTTCTAAGCACATGATTTTACAATCTATCAGTACTGATTAATAATCTGTTCTAAATTCTTTGTATGTACTGTTTCTCAGAACTGGACAATTCATGGTCTATACTGGGGAAGCTATAAAATACATCAACCACGTGTACTAGAAGAATCTTTGAATGAACTGCTATCCTGGTTGACAAGGGGCTTAATCACCATACACATTTCTCATACTTACAACCTATCAGAGGTTAGCAGCTTCTACTTGTGCTTGTTTTCTTTTTGATTGAAGAGAGCTCCTTGTCAAATGAGATTTTGCAGTAGCGATAATTCCCATAACCTCTGTTATTTGCATTCTTTACTTTACCCTACATTATAAGTGTTGACATGACATGAGTTCTGACATGGGATCTGAAATACTGATTGATGATCTTTGGGAATTAGAGGAACCTGAAACCTAACACTAACTTGACTTGTCACTTCTAGCTGAGTTCATTTAACATAGACCATAATCCATTAGAATTAACTATGAATTCACTGGATTCTAGAACTGTGTTTCTTTCTTGGTCTTCCACCGTAAAGATTCTCCTTAGCTACCTTGTTCGGTATCCCGGCATATGGTTGTCGAGGCAGGCAGGTTTAAATATATATGTGTTTCTTTTTAAGTACCAGAATTTCATTTATTTTGGATCTTTTCTGCTATTACCGGCTGTTTAATTCCTTCTTGTGTTACTGATCTCATTCTTCCAACTTGTTATCCCAAATGACCACTTGTTTTACTGATAAAAGCAGTGCAGTATACACAAGGTGTGTCACATAATGAGGCAAATGATGCTTCCCTTACCTAAAACATTTTTCAAGTCCTTTCAAGACTAGACCAGAAACCTCTTTAGTACTGGCTTCAGCAGCTACTCTCTCGGGTACAAAGTACAAACTCAACCATAGCCTCTCCTGTGTGCCAATTTTCGCTTTTATTTGCCCTGGGTATCAAAGTACTACTATCTCTGTGAACACTAGTGAATAGACCTTCCTCTTTTCCTTGTGAACCATTATTTTCTTCACAAAAAAGAAGACAAAAAATCCTTTGCAAGTAATACCTAACCTTTTTACTAAACCAATAGGCTGCTCTATTGGCAAAGCCATATGCACACATGTATTGGTACACAGAAGAACTTCAACGTAGAGAATGACCGACTTATTACTCAACCTCGCAACGCTAGAACCATGCTAGAGCCTGATAGTTCAAAATCAATAGTTATGAACGATTAGTACGGGTTGTTATGAGTTTCAATAAATTGCTTCAAATTTTTGTGAAGATCATTTCTTATTCACGAGTTGTTCTACCCACCTCATTTATAAAGGCTATGACTTGATATTCTTCTGTTTACATTTCCTTATAGTCAAATATCTGACTAAATGGAGACAGATAGTTTTGCCTCTGCTTGCTAGCCACCAAAACATCTCTTTTGGCTTGATGTGGTAACTATTTCAGCTATAGCGCTTTTTAAGACATGGGGAAATTTACTCATGATGGCACTAGGTTTTTATTTATGATGTTGCTACTGCTTTAATATGACATGAAAGCCAAGGAACGACCCACATGAATAAACCAAATAATCCATGACCATTATTGTATCTTTCAATACTTGTGATCACTAAAAGAGTGGGAAAAAGTTTTTATATGATCCTTGGGCCTTTGCTGTCACATTTGGTACGAATTCCTAGCTGAAGTTTGTGGCATCCGTAGGTTAAAGATTTGGGCAGCTCATAAGGACTTGTACATTCATTATTGTTTATGTGTTATATTACCTTTATGTGAGTATGATAATGACATGAAACAATACAATTGAAATGCCTGATTATTGCTTTTATCTCGATTTCATTACTAAGAACTAGTCTGATGTAGAAGATATTTGTTCTCGACAGGCCAACCTTGCATTCTCGGTTATGAAGGACAGAAAAGTGATCGGAAAGGTGATGATTGCTTTTGATGATCAGAAAAGTATAAGATCTAAGATGTAATTTGTTCAGAATTCAATTGGGAGAAAGTTTCTCTCTGCATTTGAATGTCAGAATATGTAAATGTCACTGCCCGGTGCCCACCATTACATTACATGGTATCTGTTTGTAAGTCATGCTAAATAAGGAGTTGTTGGCAGGGCATGCCCTTCCATAGGAATAAATTCTAGGAAACTGAAATCCAAAACTAGCTGCCTTGATGTTCTATTTATCATCTTTCATTAATTTAATAAACAATAAGGCTGTTGTGTATCAACAATATATTTAAAAAAATGAAATATCACTAAACTGCAGCACTTGGTGGTAAATATAATTAGTTATTTAAATAATTAAACTTTGGGCCTGAATTCTATCTATACTCAAAGTATTATTTAAAATATATTGCAATTTCAACCCGAAACCAACTGGAAAATGAAAAAAAGAAATTGCAATATATTTTAAATAATACTTTGAGTATAGATACTTATTGCAATATATTTAAAATAATACTTGCATTATTGCAATATATTTAAAATAATACTTGTGTATCCTGACAATTTATTTACTTTCTTTTTTTTTTTTTCATTTTCAAGTTGGTTTCGGGTTGAAATTGCAATATATTTTAAATAATACTTTGAGTATAGATAGAATTCAGGCCCAAAGTTTAATTATTTAAATAACTAATTATATTTACCACCAAGTGCTGCAGTTTAGTGATATTTCACTTTTTTCCAAATTGAGAGAGTGAGGAAAGATTGTCTTACATTGGAACCAAATGAAAAAATGAATGGAAATAAATGAGTGGGTATATAGTATTATCTAATAGTTTAAGTTTTTGGATAAATGGGCTATCTGTTACAATGGGTATTAAAGTTAGGTTCAGTTTTATATTCGTTGTCACGCTAATCACCCAGCCTAAAGGGCATCAGGATGATCTAAGCCGCAACGAGGAGATTGTGAGTTCAGAGGTGGGGAAGACTGTTACAAAGAGAAGCTGTTGGGTTTTTTTTTTTTTTTTTTTTAAATCAATGGAAATCAATAAATTTGGTTGAAATGATACTCTGTACTAGAATCAATAAAGGCTGGCATTTTATTTTATTTTTCAAAGTGCAATTCTCAAGATTGCATTGATCTTAAGGGTCGATTTATTTTGACCAATTCATCTAATGTCTCTTTTCTTTTAATTAGTTTTGATGTACATGATACATCAACGTCAATGCTAACCTTGACTGGGAAAATATATGTATATATTCACGTTCAAAAGTATAATACTACCTAATAATATTAATAATGCATATGCTTACACGAGGTCGCACTCATCATGTAAGCATATTAATGAATCGACTGACATTTAAAATAAAATAATAATGACATCAAAAAGGTACTTACAAAAGTTGGAAATTAAACCGTTTGCTTATTTACTTTCTTCTACTAAAGCCTGTCTCAAAAGTTCACCTAGCACATGAAGTCATATTCAATCAAGTGACCTAAATCATCAAATTCAGTATATATATATATATTTTTGACACATTAAGAGAAAGTTGCCAATCTAACCTAAATATATACACATGCACATACACACATTACTTTTTTATTTCATTAGGTTTTATTTTATTGTCATTTCAAAATATACAAACTACTTTTTGGTTAATAAATCAAATATATGACAGTTCATTAGCTTTTATTTTAATACACATTCCTTACGTTGCTCTCATCAAACAAACCCAATATCGGTCAAAATACCAATTAAAGGTTAAATTAGGTGGACCATCTCTACACAATTACATAACAAACCGCACATACCTCCCCACAAACTGCACATAAAAATTGATTTCCACCCACAAAATGCTCCAAGAATCTACACAACTGTGGCCAATTGTGCCTTTTCACATCCTAATTATTTTTGCTTTCTTTGGGGGGAGAGAGAGAGAGAGAGGTGAATATATATATAAATATATATATATAGGGTAAATAATACTGACACCCTTGAGGTTCATCAATATACACTAACCACCCCCATTGTTTGACAAGTTACACTTACCTCCCTTGAGATTTCTATGTAAATAACATATACCTCCCCTTCGTTAACAATCAACAACGAAAAATATTGATATCAGATTATTTTAACTTTCAAATTCCAATTATAGCATTGAAAGATGTGTTTATTGCAATAAAATAGTATATTTAAATATTTATACAAGGATAGTAACACAATTACAAACCTGACATTCTGACACAGGAGGTCAGTGTAATTTGACAAACAAAAGAAGAAGTCAGTGTACATTGACGAAACCTCAGGGGAGGTCAATGTAATTTACCCCATATATATGTATATGTATGTATATGTATACTTAACAAAGTGAAAGAAGAGAGGTAAATTCTTTACAAACATGAAAAAACTACAATGGGAGCGAGGCCTTCTCAATGTGAGAGAAATGAGATCCCTCAAGGTATATATCTATCAATACATCCACTTCACAGATTGAGTGGTCAATTTTGAAACTATATCACAAAATAGACCATTTAATTAAAACATTATGTGAGAGATTCTGCTTGAATTTAAAAAGGATAATGGGCCTAGCATCCCATTCCCCATACATTTTTGTGAAGAAAAAAATGGGACCACAAAACAAGCTTGCATGTGTATATGTGTTCCTTTGGGAAAGATTCCAGGTACAACCTGCACCAGAATGCAAATTAATTCAAACTTAAAATCATTTCCAGAACAGGATGGCTAAGGACCACCCTCTCCCTCCATATTTGGAAAGTCAAATATCCCAATATCATCAAACCCCAATTCCTAAACTACATATTAAACCAAAAAAAAGAAGGTGCATAACATGGTTCAGAGATTTAAAATTTACATAAAAGTGTTGGTGTGTCACCAAAGTACTATGATGAACTATTACAATGAATTTAACACACCAATTGCTTACAATATTTTAGCAAAGATTCTAAAAGCACAATGGCACATGAAAATAAAATGAAATTAAAGTTGTACTTTCTTTTCTCGAACGACACAAAGGAACTGAGCTTGTGAGCTTAATGGCACACAAATATCTGTACTTTCTATACGATTAGCATTAAAGTAGTGTTTACTAGGTTTGAATCAAGTGTTTAATATTCAGATTGCTACAGAAAGAGGAAGGGTGGTGGCGTGATGCTTTATGAGTTTTTAATGGACTTCAAATACTTTTAGTGTGTGTATAATATATATAGGATTTCGAGGTAGAGACCTGCATGGTGCTTAATGCATCAAGTTGAAGTTGGAGGCGTGACAAAACCTAAATTTGCACCAACCATACAACATGAAACGCCTCACTGTAGAATAGAACAGCAATATTTCATACACCTTCTTTTGCTCCAAGTTCCAACTTCCATTGTCATGCTAAAGATAGAAGAATAGAATGGTTCCTGAGTTAATTGAAGCAAGGAAGTTAATACAAGTATTAATCAAAAAGTTAAATAAATATATATGCATATATTACTTTAAAAGGAAAAAGAAAAAGAGATTTTAGGTCATAGATTTACTTCTAGCCTTTCCTTCAAGAGCGGACATGGTGGATAGGGCAAGCCTGGAACAAGCAAGAAAAGAAACTCAATGGGCCAACTGCTGTGACAATACACCACAAAGAACATCATTTCCCTGCAACAAACCGTAAAGTTCTCTTCATTTATATGTGATAATGATACAAATCATGTTAGAGGATGCAATTTAACTTTTCACTCAACTCATCAGAGCATTTTCCAAATGCAATTTAGCTCTTCATTATACCTTCAAAAGACTATAGTCAGATGACACATAAATACCAGACAAGGAAATCAAAATATGCCAAGGCTTAAAAGAAAAAACAAAATCAACAAATACCTCTTCAACAAAATATTGCACTTTATGGGAGGAGGATCACCAAGAACTCTTCTTCCCAGATGAAGTTGTCTGAGGCAGATGGCTGTACTCACAATTAAGAATTTGGCCTCCTCATTAACCACAGAGAGAGAGAGAGAGAGAATTATCTGGGACGTTTTCCATCTAATATATAACGCTAAGTGGTAACTAGCCTTATTGCATGTTCATTAGGCATTCAGGAGGATGATAATGACAATGATGAGAAAGTTGCTGATGTTATAAATTTGTTGCTGAGTTTGCCGTCTGAAATCAAGTAAGAAGCTTGAAAAAACAAAAATGAAGGCAACAGAAAAAGGGAGCCCCCTTCAGTCCAAGCACAGAGGGAGAGGGATGAAAACTATCTCCCGCATCATTCACTCAATCACAGTAGCTAACAATTAATTCCTTTCTACTGAGTGGTTAAATGAATGAGTCGGCAGCTAATTCAAACCCTTGTGTCATCCATGAGTGGGCTGAAGGAAGCTCTCTCATACCATTAACCCCTGTAGCTACTTTTAACATTATTATTCATGTAATTCAACCACGCTCCACTACTGCAACACATTTTGAAAGATGCAAATATGTGTGTGTGTGTATAAAAGGAAGTCTTCTAAATCATAAATAATGAAACTATGATTCACCTTACTATGTCGACCGTTTGGAAAGAGTTTATGCACCGATTTACAACGATTTATTGATAAAATTATAATGTGTTTTTCTGAATAGATCATTCAGAAGAAACAAATTCAATGTTATTTTTTAATTTATGACATGGTTGCATAAATCTCTCTCCTATCAAAAAAGAAAAAAGAGTGACATGCATACAAGATTAGGGACAATTTCTCACTTGTTGATTAATTAGGGTCACAAAGCATATATTCAAAGAACAAATATACCAGTTTAATGCTTGAGACTAAGAAGCATTCACTTGAAGAAATTCATAGGGAGAACACTTTCTTGACATAACATAAGAGAACACATTTTTGAAATAGTAACATATATACTTTTTGTCCATTTGAAGAAATCAAAGAAAAAGTAACATAAATACAAATACAGCCAGCTTTGCATTTCTTAACCATCGGAATAAATACCATCTAAATGCTCAATAATCACATGCAATCATTTGAAGAAATAATGCTTTTCTTGACATAGCAACATATACCGTTTTCTTCCATCCTAAAAATAAAAGAATAGGTAATACAAATACAAAATACAGACTTTTTTGCATTTCTAAATTAGGGGATCAAAATATTACTACAAGCATTATGCTTTTTCGAAGTTACTCTTCTTGTTAGTCCAAGAATTCCCTGGCTAGGCTAAACAAAGAAAATGTTTCATATCGAAACTTAAGAAAATGTTTCATATCGAAACTTTTTTCAGTCAATCGTATAAATAGACAAGAAAGAAGCAATATCAAAATCAAAATTACCCTATTATACTTGAATACTAGTAAGTCTTAAAAGAAGCAATGTCAATACATTTGTGTTTTTCATTAGAAAATTAATGTGAATTCATACAAACCTGATTCTAATCATCAATTACAAAGAAAGGATTTCAGCCAATACAATGAGTGAAACATTGAAAGGATATTACAATCAACAAGTTCAAAAACCTAATTACCGAAAGAAAAAGAAGGTCCAAAACCTAAAATTCATCAGGAAATTGAGATTAACCAAAAGCTAGGCAGAATAAACTTCTCACATACCCTAACCCTAATCATGATTAGCTATAAAAACAGACCAATAACAAATTAAACATCAATATATTAAATATAGTGCAAAGAAAACCTATATATCTTAGCTTCTGTAATCACAAACAAAAGCCCTTCCAAAGCATACAATCTAGCTATTCAATATACAGTGACAACATAATCAACTGAAAACAAATTTGCAATTAAAACTCCTCTGATTATCGAAAAAAAGTATCGTATATAGCGATATAAGAAATATATGGCAGAAAAACATTAAAAAAAAAAAAAATTAGTAATGGGTATTAAATTAATAATGGGTATGTCTAGGAGATCAGAAACCCTAAATCTCCATTGATGCAGCATATATTTTTCAGTGTCACCTCGCTAAAATGAAAAGAATAGAACAAGCAACATAAAAAGCTCAAAAAATAGATATAAAAATATGTCAGGAAAAATAGAAATAGATATACATAGATATATATGTGTGTGTGTGTCGTGTGTGTGTGTGTGTGTGTGTTTGAAAAGGGGCTCGCAAAACTTACGGAAGAGAGGTGTGTTTCATTTATGCATAGGGTAAGATGATGGGTCGTTTTCGTCATGAGAGTCAGCAACAGGAAAGCGACTTTAAAATCTATATATATATAAAGAGAGACTAGAGAGAGAGAGGGGTGGGGACTTGGGGAGGAGAAGAATTACACACACACACATAGTAAATATATACTCTTTACATTCCTCCACAGCATCTATGATCTACCACAAAGTCTTCTGAGAACAGAGAGAGGAAATCCCATTCACACACACACAGACTGAAGTGAAAGAGCACTTCCACACATTCAATTCAGAGACGCAGACCGATAGGTAAAGGAGATTGTGTGGTGTTGGGAGTTGAAGTTTGACCATTAAATGCTACTACTATTGTTTGCAGGTTTTTTATGGTACTGTGCCGTCGACAACGTCCCTGTTTGTGTACCCCACAGTTAGACTGGAATCAAAATGGGGGGTACACTTTTTCTTGCATTATTTCGGATACACACTTTACCACATATTTTTTAGAGTCTTACCATGCTAATTGTAAAATTTGGACCACCCAAAATCTCAAGTTACATTTCTAGAAGGGGATAATTTTTTATGGGACAAGAGTAAGTAATATATTTTACCAATTAAAATGGTGAAATTCATCATTTAAACTAGAAAATTTCAAAATATTGAAGACATCCATTAGTGGAATAAGTTTTTAAAAGTTGAAAGATATTTTGGGAAGTATACAAGGGCTATTTGATTCAAAAGTTGAAGATATTTTGGAAAGTATACGGGGGCTATTTGATTCAGTTTTTGAATAATAATTTTTTGTTTTTCTGATAATAAAAAATAAAAAATTTGTACAAAAAATATGTTTGGTTGACAATTTAGAACAATTTTTTAAAATTCTATTTAAAGAGATGTTTTTCGATAGTTAAGTAATTTTGGAAATAATTTTTTTATTTGTGAGTTTTAATAATTATTTTCTGAATAACAAATCAAGCAATTCCTAATATTTTTAACACTTTTCAAATGGATAAGAATTTTCGAACAAAAAATATAGAAAAAGATGGACAATAATTATGGAATATATTGAATAAATATAAAATTAAATATCTTTTAATTATGATTACTAAACTCATGAAACCTAATGATGATATACCTAATGATGAAATGCCGCGATTCAACCTCATATTTTCATCTCAACATCCAATCATGTCATTATTGTCATGTTTCAATCTTGCCCTTGTACAACAACTTTACATCATGAACGAAAAATGTAACAACTTTGTAAATGTGTTAAATTCTTGATTTTCTAATGTTATTATAACGTTGCAACACGATGTAATATGTTATTGTTGAGAATAAAAAATGTATCATATACTATAGTATAAGATATTTAAATATTATTTGTAAATATAATATTTATTATAATAATCTATATATATTTATATAGTTTAATATCTAGAAATTAAAACTATAAAAGAACCTGATAAAGTCGAGGCTAGAATTTAATTTTATAGCCTTAAGACAGATACGCCCCGCTACGGTGCTAACGGACTCTTCGGCGTCTATCTCCCAGGATACAACGACTTTTCTTCCTTTGGTAATAGCACTTCAAACCAATGGAATAGGCGAACCGGCTCGGTGAAGTACTCTCAGACTCGGATTTGGACTCGAAGTGAGTGACTAAGGTTCGAACCCAATTAGTTAGGGTTGAACCCAAACAGAATCCCTAAGGTTTGAACCCAATTGGTTAAGGTCGAACCCAAACAGATTATAAAAGAAAAAGAGGGAGAAGTAAATTCAGAAGAGAGAAGATTTTGTTCTGAATTTGGTGTGTTTTGAAATGAATCCAAGGAGGGCTATTTATAGGCTTAATGGTGCCTATTCCGAATGGATGCAACCATTGTGGACCAATAAGACATTAGAAAGCCAAAACTGATTTAGGTTCAAAAGGTGCAACCCTTGGTTCAAACAAAAACTGTTTTATGGTTTTTGATTTGAATTTAAACCCAAAACAGATTAATCTGATCCAGCCCAGCAAGCAAACTTCGGCCATTAATTTAGCCCAGCCCAGCGTGCTCCACCCACAAGCCCACTTAAATAAGTCCAGTAGACAAATAAAATAACCACACAGGCCCAGTCCAACTTTGTGTAAAAAGGTTAGACCCATTTTATAATTAAGCCCCGCCCCGCCCAAGCCCGAACCGGACCGGGCGGGCGTGTGTGGTAGTTGGTTCGGATCCAGGCTAGCCTAGGTCCTCCCCCTCTTAAAAACTTGGGTGCCCTTGGGCCCAAACCCAAATCCCATACTAGACATATATATACTCAAGGTTGCTTTGCTACTTTTTCGATGTGGGACAAGCATTTCCCACTTTATTCACACCCATTTAGGCTTTATAAATCACTTACTTTGGAGCCAATTTCTCATTCACCCGGAAACGGATTTGAGAAAATACATATACCACGTTCATCTCCTCGCAGAGAGGAACGCGCTCGTCAATAGATTCGCAAAAAATTCTTAGCGGAATCTTTTAAAATCCTTCCAAAGTTTGCGTTTTCTAATGCCGTTTCCAACAGTTACATGGGTGTTATATCTTCGATATTAGATGTGTTACATAATTTTTTTAAAATCACTATTAAGTGAGAGAATATACTTTCAAGCACATGTGTAAGTGGTGAAGTTTCTTTTGTCATTTGTTTCATGTATTATAGATTGGGTGGTGTCTCAACCCTTCATTAAAGGATTCTAATCCCTTCAATCAAGAGATTTCAAACAGAAATATGCACTAATAATGTAAAAATCTTGTAACTCTAGATGAAGTAAACGGTCGAAAAATATTTTGGTTGCATGGCAATTTTCATGGTATCAGAGCTATCGACATTTTCTTTTTTCCTAACAGTCACTCTTAAGACATAACTACAAATCAATCCCCACCCATCTTCATAACCTATTGGACTATGTGTTTATCCTACCGTGATATCCAAAATTGTATGTTGTCTCTCAACAAGGACAAATCTCTAGGCCCTAGTGGTTACAATTAGGGGTGGCAAAAATCCCCAACCCGGTGGGGAACTGCCCCGTCCCCGCCCCATTTAAAACGGGTTTGGAGAACCGTTTACTTAAATGGGGTGGGGATGGGGGTTAAAAAAAAAAAAAAAAACGGGCCGGTTACAGGGCGGGGGCGGGGGACTAAGATCCCCGCCCCATACCCGCCCCATAACCGTCCCGTTTAATATGTTAAATTACTAATTTATCTTGCCATGTTAATATATTTACTAAATTAACCTTCACTATATATATATATATATATATTGGAAACCCTACCCTCCCTTCACTTTCATACATCACTCAATAGCAGCAGCCGTGTCTCTGAGTTCTCTCTCAAACAGTCAAACCCATCATTTAATACAGCCGTGTGACCGTGTCTCTGAGCTCTCTTTCATACCCTTCACTTTCATTTCGCTAATGATTTTCGTTTAAGCTTCTACACAAATCTTCGGCTTGTACACAAATCTTTGGTTTGGTTCAAGTAATTTCATCTCTGGTTTGATTATATTTTATTTTTGGTTGGTTTGATTGTGAATCTTGAGGCTGTTAGGTTTTAATTTCATCTTTAGTTGCAGAGAGAGAAAGGGGGGGCAAGCTTGAGAGTTGAGATATAACAGCTGAAGCTTGCGAACGGCGAACTCGAACTAGAACAACGGGCGATGGAAATTGAAAGATATGGGTTTTGATTTTTTGAACAATCCGAAATGATATGCCGATATGGGTTTTTAACTTCTGATTCTTGCAGACAGATCACAGTTATATAAAATGAAATATATGGGTTTTGACCTTCTGATTCTTGTAGATTTTGTAGTTTGCAGTTGGGGAGAGAAAAAGAGAGAGAGGCAAGTTCAGAGTTGAGAAAGAGAATTGAGATGGAGGCGACTGGGGATGCTAACATGAATTGCCCTAAAAATATAATCGGTTATGGGGCGGGGGCGGTTATGGGGATTAGAGGCAAAAAATTAACCGGTTATGGGGCAGTTTCGGGGGCACCAAAATTAAACGGGGGCGGGGATGGGGAATGGGAAACCTTCCCCAAACCGCCCCATTGCCATCCCTAGTTACAATGCAATGCTTTTCCATAAAGCCTGGAGTATTGGGGGTAAATCAACAATCAAAACAATTTCTGAATTCTTGAAATGGGAAGTTCCTTACTGAAGCCAATTGCACTTACATATCACTTATCCCCAAATGCCAAAACCCATCATCCCTTAATGACTACAGACCTATATCCTGTTGTAATACCCTCTATAAATGCATTGCAAAGCTACTGGCCAACAAGTTACAGCTTATTCTACCTTACATCATTGATCACACTCAAACTGCTTTTGTCTAAGGAATGAAAATTACTGATTGAGTACTGCTCACTCGTGAGTTACTTAGAGGTTATCACAGAGACATCCCTCCTCCAAGGTGTGCTATCAAAATAGACCTCATGAAGGCCTTTGACTCAGTTGCATGAGACTTCACCATCAACTGTCTAACTTTTCTCAAGTTCCCCCAGAATTTTATCAAGCTCATTCAAGCCTGCATTTCATCTCCATCCTTCACAGTGGCAATCAATGGAGAATTTCATGTTTTTTTCAAGGGTTAAAGAGGTCTAAGGCAAGATGAACGTATCTCTCCCTTTTTATTTGTCATCATCATGTATATATTTGCCTCTATTGTGCAAAACTTTGTTTCTAGAGCTCTAAGGTCCAAATACCATTGGAGATGCAAAGAACTGGGCATCAAATCATCTCTCATTTGCTGATGACCTGTTTCTTTTTTGTCATGTTAATATAACATCAGTTTCAATTCCAAAAACTGCAATCGACCACTTTTATTCTATGTTTGGATTAGCCATTAATCTAAACAAGAGCACAGTCTTTCTCTTTGGTGTTGACCCTTCTACTGAACTAGCAATCACAGGCTTGTTAGGAATTGGGATTGGAGTGCTTCCCATTAGCACTTAGGAGTGCCATTGATCTCTACATGTCTCAAGTCAACTGATTGTAGAGCCTTCCTTGAAAGAATCACTTATAAAATCACACACTGGACCTCTAGGTCTCTGTCCTATGTGGGAAGGCTACAATTAATCAAATCAGTCCTGGTGTCCTCTCAAATCTATTGGTCAAGCATATTTATTCTTCCAAAAGGGGTCATGGACGAGCTTAATAGATTTTTAGTT